AGAGCTTCTACTTCTACTTAAAAATTAATAAATAATATAATTATTTAACTAGAGACTTAAATCTAAAATATACTTTTCTTATACCTTTAGTGTAATTTATAAGTAGATAGAGGAGTAAGAGTTATAAACTCTAAATTATACCTCTCTTTAACTTCTCTACCCCCTATAAGCTTTTTACCCTTATTAGGTTTATTAATCTTAGCTTTTATAAAATAACTTAAATTAGTAAATAAGTTATAAAAATAATAAAATAAAATAAAAACTTTATAACTTAGAGATAACTTAGAAATAATAAAAATAGATAATAAAATAACTTATTCTTAGGCTTAAGGCTTTTAAGTTCTAAAGAAAATACTAGAGGAGTATTATTACTCTCCTCTTCCTCCCCCTTTCTCTCTTTCTACTTCTTATTAGTAAAAGTAGCTCTTACCTTAGCTATTATAGCTATATACTTAGCTTTAGTCTTCTTAATTATCTAAATAATATAGTTAGTATTAAAAATAGAATCTTAAATAAAAAAGAAAGTATTATAATTATAGTATAAATATATATATATATAGAAGTAAAGTAAGTAATATATATATATATAGAAGTAAAGTAAGTAATATATATATTAGTTATAATATAGATAGAGAAAGAAAATTAAAAAGTAGAAGTAATATAAGAGATATTATTATTATTACTACCTTACTACTTTAATAACTACTTTAACTTTCTTATCTAAGTTAATAAGAAGCTTCTATTTCTATTAAGTAAAGTAGTAATATTAATTATTACCTTAATACTTATAATTTTAACTATAATAAAAAGTATATAAGGGGAAAGACCTTCCTCTTTTTTATAATTTAATAATAAAGCTATAAAGTTATCTCTTTTATTAGTTTTTTTTATTAATTACTTCTCTTTATATCTATTTATAGTACTTTATATATATATTTAGATTTTATAATATTAGTTATATAGGATTAGGGTTTTTAAGCTTTTTTAAGCTTAGGGGGGTATATTATAATACCCTTAAGTATCTAAAGTAGCTTTATACTTAGAGGAAGGTATAAGGTAACCTACTCCTAACCTATTTATCTAGACTAATAATATTCTAGTGCGTTAGGATCTATTCCTTAAAAGACCCTTTATATTAGACTCTAATTTAGAAGGAATTAAGCTATTTTATTTACATAGATGCTATACGTACGTTATAGTTAGTTTATAACACTATAGTAATCAGGTTAAATTGTTTCGATAGGTGAAAAGGGGACTAAGTATTATAGGGTGAAGATGGCTTTTATACTTACTGCTAGATCTCATACTGTCTAGGTATAGAGAATTTATTTAAATCAGGATGCAAGCCAAAAATCCCTCAACATCGTTACCGAGGTCTGTTTCCATAATCTTATCAGATCTGTTCCCGTCGTGGCATTTGACGGCTAGAAGAGCCGTTCCCGTCTTGGCTCTACCCATTCGGGGCCCCAATTTGGAGAGAATCTACGGCATTCATTTAGCAGCCGATGGAATACGTTGCCACCAAGCAAGGAAATCCTTCAAGCATAAACATGTCTGTTGCCAGAACCTGTTCCTGTTATCTTATCAGATCCATTCCTGTTCAGCCATTGGCTGCTGGAAAGGTAGTTGGTCCTGGCTGTACCCATCATTGGTACCACGGTTTAGCAAAAATATGGTGATATTGTGCTAGATTTATTGAGCACCCGGTGGGATGAACTGGGGCTAAGCCGGTGGCTGAGAAATGCTCACAGTGAGTGATTCTTCGTCCAATTGTGGGGCCTAGGGCAGATATTCTGGTCTTCTCTGATGGCCTTCTCTGGTGATGAGGCCAAATGGAAGCATGCTTGTTGATACCTTGAAGCTTATTAGCAAGAATTCTCTCTCTCTAGAACACTTAAAAACTGGGCACAAAACCAAAATTATGTCCTGTAATTATCGATTGAGCAATGCTTACAGCAATTTGCCAGTGAGAGCACTCTGGTAGCTTGTTATACTTGTAGAGGAGAAGGAACATTAGAACATACGCATGAGGTGCTGCATCGTCTATTTCAAAGTTTTATGGTATTGCTTGAGGGAAATATCCTGCGGCATTGTTGATTCTTCACGAGTGAGGCGGTTAGAAGCTTGCGATGCGCCCCAAGCAGGCCCGGAAAAAGGTACGGCGTAACACAGGAACAAGTGGCGTTCGGCTCCGATACGATCGGCCCCGTTACGTGGAGCCGGCGCCGTTGCCGTTCTGCCGGTATGAGCGGCAAGGGATTAGACTTTGTGCGTGGGAGTTCTCGCCGGCAGAAACGATATCCATCCTATAAAGTGCTGCATGACGCCAGTATAAGAGTATGCGGGCACAGAGAATCAAATATTTTTTCTGATGATCGACAATTTTTCTCAGCGAATTGCAAAATTCGGTGAGACCAGACTTGGAGTTCCGGGTACTCAATATGCTGGCGTCATGTAGCACTTGATTGGCTAATGACTGCTTTCGTTGACGAGGAGAGCATGGGTCAAAGTGCCTATATAGTGTTTCCCAAAGTGTGCCCACGAACTGGAATTTCTCTTAAGTCTTTTCACGGGCGGGCTGCGCCGTAACCACAAACTCAAAGAAACGCGTGGTACGGACATACGGCATCTGACGGTGTTAGGCCATCATGGTAGATCAAAGAAATGGGTTTGCGATTTCCCCGGATTTTCTCGTAATTCGCCTGACTAAGTACAAGGATTATCCTGTCCGCGGAACTGGCCGAGCAATTCCGAACCCATGTCCCGTCGGAATGACACCAGACAATTAAGTTCCGAGCTTGCATCTCGTTCCGTCGAGGGTAATCCCTAGAAGAGGGGATTCTTTGCTAGCTAAAAGTGACATCTCACATTAGGCAAGGACAGCCCCTCATTCGCAACACTGACTGGCTTTCCTCTTCGCGGTCTAGCTTATTTATTTAGCAAAGTGCTCCTCCTACAGGAATCAGTATTGCCTCTCTTCAGGTAATAGAACTCCTCGATTCCAACGGCGCTGTTCAATTTCCACAACATGGGTGTCATCACATTGAAGGCCGGAAATGGTCTGACCACTTCAGGTATGTTATCATTTGGATTTTCACAGCATTGAAAAACTGCGCTTACATTGAGATGGCAATCAGTCGAGAGCGGACTGTTCATCAACAACGAGTTCGTCGAAGCCACGGCGGGCGAAACATTGGACATCGAGAACCCCTTCAACTTGGAGAAGCTAGCAACACTGTCAGCTGCTCAGGAGGCAGATGTAGACTTGGCTGTGAACGCTGCCCAGGACGCCTTCTATGGAGGTTGGAAAACGACCCTTCCTCCAGTGCGCGCAAAGCTTCTACACAGGCTGGCAGACCTGATTGAGCAGCACGCCGACGAGCTGGCCCTTCTTGAAGCCCTGGATGCCGGAATTCTTTTCAACGACTCAAAAGGCTTGCACGTGCCCAATGCTGTGTCTACTCTTCGTTATTTTGCTGGTTGGACTGACAAGATCGATGGAAAGCTTTTGCAAATACCTGAGGGCACAGCTTACACTCTCCGAGAGCCCATTGGGGTGTGCGCAGCCATTGTGCCATGGAATTGTCCTCTGTAAGTCCTGGGTATTCTGTCTGATATTTTGAAGCAAGCTGACGCGGATTCTCTGCCATCTAGCATGATTAATTCATGGAAGCTGGGACCCGCCATAGCCGCGGGTAATACTCTCATCATTAAGACCCCTGAGGCCGCGCCACTATGGGGACAGAAGCTTGCTAGCCTGGTCAAGGAGGCAGGCTTCCCCGCTGGCGTCATCAACATTCTGTGCGGCGAGGGTGCCATTGCAGGAGCAGCGCTATCGGCACACCAAAAGGTGAAGAAAGTGTCATTCACTGGAAGTACAGCCGTTGGCCGACACGTCCTTCTGTCCGCCGCCAAGTCCAACCTCAAGAAAGTCACACTCGAGCTTGGCGGTAAGGGGCCGTCCATTGTTTTCTCCGACGCGGACTGGGACAATGCTCTCTTCTGGACATCATTAGGCAGCACAACAAACAATGGTCAGATCTGTGCCTCTGGATCCCGAATTTATGTGCAAGATACTATTTACGACAAGTTTCTACAAGCATTTACTGAACAAATCAACAAGGCCGTACACGGCGATCCCGTTCTTCAGGAGACAACCAAAGGTCCAGTCATCAATGCATCCCAGCAAAAGAAAATCTTTAGCTACATCGAAGGAGCCAAGAACGATGGAACGAGGCTACTTCATGGAGGGGAGAAGCTCGACCACAAAGGCTACTTTGTTCCCAACACCGCCTTTGCTGATGTGCCCGAGTCTGCGGTGATCATGAGGGAGGAGATTTTCGGACCAGTTCCGGTAAGTGCTTTATCCCAGCCCATAAGCTGGAGAAACGCCACGAAAGCTGATCTGGGCTTCAGAGCATCGCCAAGTTCTCCACCGAACAGGAGGCAATACAAAAGGCCAATGATACCGAATATGGCTTGAGTGCTGCAGTGTTTACAAACAATGTTAACCGAGCTCAGCGGGTCTCAGCGGCCATTGAGTCTGGGCAGGTTACAATCAACTGCTGGGGAATGTTGCACGCCAACACTCCATTTGGTGGTGTGAAGCAGTCAGGATTTGGGAGAGATTTGGGCGAGGAGAGCCTTGATGGCTGGCTGAACTCTAAGACGGTCAAATACTTCAACATTCCTGAGACTTCCAAATTGTAGGTCAGCTACATCAACCGCAGCTGCGTACGTAGCATCACCTTAGGTAATCATATTTGAGACAAATAAATAAGCAGTATGAGGATGTGTCACAGGTTCTGAAATTCCATGCACAGGTTAGACGCTTTGCCATGTTACCCTGGATGGAGAGTTGGCAAGTTCGATCCTACGCATGCAGATTCACGCAAATGGGGAAACACCATACGGCTCACGGTGCATCATTTAATAGCATAGTAGTACAAGATTGGACAGCTAAATTGTTTTGGTTAAAACGAAAGTTGGCGTTGAAAGAGTCAGACCAGGATTTGATGTTCCCCCATGTCTTTCATAATATCTTGCCATCTAGCTGGTGTGGCAAGACCACTACGGACGAGATCTCGGTGATTCCATACCGCCTCAAGTATCTTTTCGCCAGACTTGGTATTGTAAATTCCAAGTAGGTGCATGCTATACCACCTGGAACGAATATAGTCGCGCTGATCTAGGAGATCAAGCTCCGCCCCAAGCACCACCAAACACCAACCTAGGTTAGCTCCTGGGCTAAGGGCATCTGGAACCTGCGTCAGAAGTTGAAGTGATGTCTGAAGAGACTCCTCCATATCCGACGTAAGTCGCTCTTCGACGCCATGAGTAATTCGATAGACATATAGGTGTGACGTGTGCCTGAATATCTCGGCGGTGGCGATCATCCGCCGACGCAGTTCTTCTTGCTCCAAACCCACCGTAGCCGAGTACTTTTCTCGGGCATCATCACACAGGATCGAAATGATTGGATTTGAGTTATCCTCCATCTTCGTTGCTTGAATTGCCTTTTGGAGGGTTTCAGACCGCCGGTGTATCTCCTCGAAAGGGATTTCAGCATCGTCGGAGGCCTTTTGTAGTTGCGAAGCGGCGCACTATCACCTCAATTAGCTACGCCTGAGCTTTGGTTCAGGAGTTTGAATGACTTACCATCAGCTTGGGTAACCTGGAGGAGCATCCGAACAACGCGTCGATCGAGTCATTCTGCCCTATATCTGAGGGATTTGGGCATATATCAAGCCACGACTCAACCTCTTGCATAACCGGTAATCCCACATTCAAAGCACACTGGGTTTCTATGAGACATACCCAAGTCTTCAGGAACGGGTCTAAGTCAGAGTGATCTCCTCGAGAGCGAATCCACCCCCGGATGGCGTCGAAATGTCCTCTCCATCGCGGAGTCCCTGAGAACACCTGGCGGGTTTAGGCACGTCAGCGAATGATCGTAATCCTTGTGACGGGGGACAGTGATCAAGTTTTGCTAAATACCTCAAATGACACCAAAAGTAGCATGATGGTGAGAGTGACAGGGCTGTTCAGGTCACTCGAATTTCCGAAACGGCCCTTGAGGGCTGCAGCGGCGGCCCTCAGGTATCGACGCGAATCTTTGTCGCTTGTTTGCTGCCAACGACTGTGATGTGAGGATGCAACAGCGAGTGCAGCATTCATAAGACCGGGATCATGAAGTGCTAGTGGCAACAGAGAGCGATAACCGTTCTGGTTGTAATCAATAGCCAGCGCAACGCGAGCAAGGTTTTCTAAGCGCATATATCAGCATACCAAGAACTTGCGCGATCCTCGATGGTGATAGAGAGGAACTCAGATATTCAAACATACTCATAAAATGCTGCATGAAATAACTATCCTGTGACGGAAGCCCCAACGACGACAAAGCTTGAGGCACGCAGAATTGACTTGTGGGTAACGTCTGGCGAGTATCACTGTTGTTGCCCGACGACTCTCTCGTATTTGAGGGTCCATCATATGTTCGTCGTGGTCTCTTCTTTCGGCGAATGAAATCTGCCGGCCATCGCGGCCTGATGCCGAAGCCTTGACATCTTATTCCCCTTTCGGCACAATTCCTACATCCTACAACGGAGCACAACGGTGATGTTAGCATTTGATAGGCATTCAAGTCAGCAAGTTCGTGAAGGGGGAGAGTTGGTATGGTCATGATATGTCAACGATAAGGGAACCACCTACGCGGCAAGCTGAGATCGCATATGCGTTTTTGCTTCAAACATGTCCAACAGGCACCACTGTCGTTTTGTAATGTTGTTGGAGGAAGATTCCGCTCATTCGCCATTGGAAAGAAAGATTACAGAGCACTGTCCGGAGCCTGCTGATGGATGGTGGCTTGTGAAGCTTCCAGTGTCAGCAAAGAATGGGCCGCTTAGATGTGTGATTTGCGATGGGCGAGGATGCGGAGATGGCGTGGACTAGCTCGAAAGCTGACATGTTGAGGTGGCAAGCATGAACCTGCGGACGAGAAACGGAATTAGAACGTGTCTTAGTTCCGAACAACCTCCACTTCCCCGCATTTGTGTTATCTTCATAACCCTCCTGTTGCGCATGGACTGTAGCCGGATACCCCGCGTGTCATCACTTGTGCCAGCGGAAACCCCTGTGTGCTAGCCTGTGTCCAATCAGAGCCTACGATAACCATCCCGGATATATTGCATAGCTGATAGAATGGAGCTTGACTAACTGCCTTTCTCGCATCTGACTTGGGCCATGCCCGTTCATGGCCAATGCCCGCCCATCCCATCCGAGTCTCAACTCACCTCATCCTATGCGGCTTTTCATGACAAAGTTCTTTGCATGTCGACTATATTTCAAAATTAGGATCGAGCCTAGCATGACTACATGAAGGGATTTTCGCCACTGCTAAAGTTTATGTTCATCTCCGCCCACAGACTGTTGCTTCCTGTCATGAGCTGTCTTAGCAGTCGGGAGTCAAAATCTTCCTTATATCCAGAGAGCTCGGCAAAAGCGAAAGGATCTGTAAGCGAGTCGACAAGACCTATTGGATCAACGAGGGAGCCTTTTCCTGCATCCATACTTTGGCTCGTCATACTCGTCTGAGACATAGACGGCGTAATTGCTTCAGATGACTCTAATAAGCCTCCCGCCAACCCAAGGGGATCGCCGGTATTCTTTCCACCGTGAAATTCCAATGCATCGCCATCTTCTGTGCCTAAGTGAGCGGATTCTATGCCGTCTTGCCTGTCGGGCTCTATATCCTCCGAAAGATGACGAGCATAACTGTGAAGCCAATTTCCTTTACATTGAGAGTCGTGACCAGGGTCAATCTGAGCTTTATCAACAATGGGTCGATGATCTCCCTGACCGCTTAAGATGTCCTCACCAACTCTTCCTTGAGCGTCTGACACGCTACTGGGGATAAGCGGCACCCACTTCGGCTCCTTAATATCTACATATCTGCTGAAGTAGGTTGAGAAAACATCTTCCACAGGGGAGCCACTGACGTGTTTCAGGGGAATGTTGATATCGTGGACCCGGATCAAGACTTTAATCTAAATCAGATTAGATTTTCATTCAGTTCGAGAGCGCTTGCAGGGTCAAAGTAACGGGTAATTCAACATACCCAATCATTTGCGGGAGTATAAAAACTGCTCGCAGCCCCTAAAGCAACGAAAAGAAACTTCAGGGTGTCTGCTATCCAAGGACTATGGGGCCTTGGGGCACGGTGAAGATAGTTGACCAGGACAATTGCACTCTGCATACATGCATACCCAACTACATGAATGTTCTGGCGAGGCATGTTAGTAAGGAAGCAAAACAACAGCAAGGTTCAACTTGTAACATAACCTACCCGAAAGAAGTCTCCTTGCCACACCAATTCTTTGCAGATGGTGCAGATGGCTACTGCGCTTGCCTGACAGCGACTCAGTCTCTCCTCAACAAAAAGCTGTGGTGCAGCTGGAAAGTTAAGTTGTCTGGAAGATGCTCCCGAATTTACGTCGTCGAGCATGGTTCTCTCTGTAATTGGGAGAAAGGTTCGGTTCAAGCAGATAACACAGCAGTGCCAAATCAGGGAACACATGGCACTCTGAGTGCGCTGTTCCTGTGGCAAATGCTCGTCCTCAGATGATCCGGGATGGAGTTGTTCCAGTCGTTGTAGCACTAATTGTTCTAGCTCCACCTGGTAAGTCCTGAACGTTGAATGCAGGCTCCAGGGCGGTGGGTTTTGCTTAGAGAACCCTGCTGAACAGTAGTGCTGGATGCGAACGAATAACTGGAGGAGTTCCAATAGCTGTGTGAGGAATCGGTTGCTCCGGGTGCCATCATTGTGTTCTTGATCGATTTGGTCCTTCCGTGTCGGACAGCGTAGCTGCAACGAGCAATGGCTGAAAGATATCATTGTTTCTGAGATTTCAAGGTATATCTGAACTCGATGTAATAGTTCGAGCTCTCTCGGGTTGACAGCTTCGTTTAATAGAGCCAGTTGTACCATACTTTTAGCCAGTGCTATGCTTTGAGTTAGTCAGGGTACCGACAAAGGCTCACAGTCACAAGAAACTTGCCCAAGTCCATCCACGCCTGCCGCCCATCACCGCGACTTATGCTATACTCAATGAGGACGCAGTACGTGGGTACGGTTGATGGTTCACTTCCAGCAGCACTGCTTAGATCGACCTGACATCTTGCACTCCGCTCAAAGTTCTTGGCAAGCCTGGATGCTGAAGGTTCCTTGACAGCTTTATGGACAGAGAAGCGAACGCTGTAAGCACAAATGGCTAGCAACAAGCTGCGCGTACAGGTGCCCGCGCAAACTGTCTCGATGAGCTCATCTGCGGGTACTATGAGTTCTAATGGCGAGCTTGATCGACAGCAGAACAACTCCACGAGATGGGCGCAAAGATCCGGGTCTACCGTGTTCCAACTATGTGCGGCTCGGCGCTTGAGCTTAGCCTTTGTTCTTGAGGTGTAAATGAGGACATGGCTCTGATACATACTAGGAATCCGGAGTGCTGGGATCCATCAATACAGACACAAGTCCGCCTCGCCATTCAGCCGCCGGCGGGAAGACATCTTCTTCGAAATCAGGGTCGTCATCGTCTAGATCATTAGTAGCAACGTCTATGATGGAGCTTGCCACATTGGGAGACGAATGAAGGTGATCGCCGCCAGAGGATGAGCTTATCTGGTCGACGTGCCGGTCAGAAGGCCCCGACGGCGCAGGCGCAATCAGACATGTCTGGGAAGGCCGGCTGCTGTTGGGTCGTGGCCGCGGTCCACGGCGGGTGCGGTTCCTATCATCAAAGTGACACGAATGATCATTTTCGGCACAGAGCTTGCATGGAGCAGTACCAGTGCACTTGACCTATGCAGTTGAAAGTCAGGAGTTCCGTTGCACCCAGTCGAGGCGCGGACCACCAGTAAAACCGACTTACTCGTTTCTTGCGGCAATAGTCACAGGCAAGTGTAACCTTTCTTCTCAGACTGCCGTAGCTAGGATCCACAGAGGCTTCGGGCATCGTGAACTGAGCTTATGTCTCCGTCGACGAATGGCTTACCCGGGGCGTCAGACGAGGCTGGGGAATCAAGAACGGCCACTTGGTGGCTGTCGGCCAATGAAAGAAGTGACCAACGCATCGTAATTGAGAGTGTCCAGCTTTCAGATGCCTAGGTGCAGGACACAAATGATGTCGGGCGAGTCGGCAGTGCATGAACGGGTACAATGATTTACAAGTTGCAAGTAACGAGGCTCACTGTGGGACGGACTCATGCAGGGATACCCAGGCCCAGATCCCAGCCGGATCCATCTCGCCCTGGTCAGTCTCAAACTCCGCCCACCGGCCCCTGCTAGTGCGGGAGCCGTGAGCTGCCATACCGCATACTCCTATCCGACTACTCCAATTGGTCCTAATTTTCCGGAGCAGTTCGTCAGTAGGTCTACGAGTCGCCATGAGGCTTCGTCAGCGAACAGCTCGGTACGTGTGCTCATAGGTTCCTGCTTCCGGCCAATTCTTGTCCAACCATTGATAGAGCAGAGTATTGTGTCTCCTGCTCCATTTGAGAATCGTACATGTTTGCTGGTACACCATGCATTTGACGGATGATATGTTGAAACACAACAAGATAAATGTAGCTACAAACTGCTTGTCAAGGAGCAAAAGCGAAAACTCTCGATTGTTATCTAATTAATTTCGAACCTTGTTACGTCCCTTTTCGTGTTACTCGAAATGGTAGACTCTAGAGATGGTTTTACCTGGACGCCCAGCCGGGGCTTGCGCCGCGGCTTGCCCACCATTGGAGTTGTTGAGCCGCCTGTGTATACTTCGCCCTTGTCCGATGACGATCTCGCGTACGACGTCATTGTAATTGGTGCTGGTTATGCAGGCTTGGTGGCAGCTCGAGACTTGGCTACGCAAGGTGCGCATTGTAGACCTCTTTCACTATGATATGCGCTCATAAACCGTTCAGGAAAGAAAACTCTTTTGATAGAAGCCCGCGACCGACTTGGTGGACGCACATGGCACGCAACCATTGACGGCTTCAATTACGAGATGGGTGGCACGTGGATACATTGGCACATGCCCCATATCTATCGCGAAGTCTCTCTATATGGGCTCCAGGACGATTGGCTTGTTACACAGCAGTCCGGCAGCAAAGAGGACTACTTCACCCTAACCACCCCCAATGCCCAACGTAACATGACCCATGACGAAGAGGCTAGTATATTTCATTAGCCATAGATGGCAAAGGCCGGGAGGCTCAATGCTAACCTTTCACTAGGCCGATATGTTTGGACGTGTGTGGCGGATGTTTTGTGATGTAGATGGCAACGACCTTCGACAACACTGGAAGTTCCCATTTGGAACAAAACAGTCGCCCGAGCTGTCGGAAGAGTGGGACAAAATGTCCTGCCAGGACCGGCTCAATCAAATACAAGATCGACTCAGCCTGGAAGAGAGATCGATGCTCGAGGCACTACTGAAGCAGATGGGTGGGACCTCCCTCGACAAGATGGGTCTTCTCAACGCCCTTCGATGGTGGGTATTGGGCTCCCACAATCCGACTGGCCTGAACGACATTGCTCTGCATACTAGACTGCGCAGCGGTAATGGCACTTTACACAGACACATTTTTGAGCATGCGGTCTCGTCTGGAAATCTATCCTACAGTTTCAACTCAGCTGTCAGTAAGGTAGTCGACGCGGGAGAATATGTCACAGTGTTTTCCAAGAACGGCCAATCGTGGAAAACCAAGTCAGTTATTGCAACTGTTCCGCTGAATGTGCTGGCCGATATCGAGTTCTCGCCAGCGCTTCCAACTGCGAAAGTTGAAGCCAGCCGTCAAGGTCAAGTCAACTTGTGTAACAAGCTGCACTTGGACCTTGATGGTCCCGACTACAAATCGTGGACATCCTTCGCCTCTCCTGGAAGAGGTTTTGTATGCGCTCTGGGAGATCATCTAACACCGGCCAATAATTCTCATCTGGTTGCCTTTGGTCCCGACCCATCCTCGCCTGGTGGCATCCCCCTCTCGGATATAGACCAGGTGAAAAAGGCAATTCTGCACCTGCTGCCTGAAGAAAAGAGAGCCGAAGTCGGTTTTCATCGCATAGTACGTCTTCGCCCTATTTCTGTTGAAAGGCATTGGCTAAAATATACGTTCTCAGGTTGCCCATGACTGGGTCAATGACGAGTTTGCCAAGGGTACTTGGTGCTATATGGCACCAGAGTTTACGCAGAGATATGTAGCTGCTCTGCAGAAGCCGCATGGAAATGTCTTGTTCGCTAGCGGGGATTATTCCGAAGGCTGGCGGGGTTGGATCGATGGTGCTGTGCAAGCAGGTATGGAAGCGGCCCACACGGTTATTCAGCTTCAGCGCAAAAGTCTGAAGGAAAACAGCGAAAAGAACGTCAACGTCATCAATTCTACGAAGCTTTGAAGGCTTTACGAAATTGTTTTCTTGGCTATTCAGTAAAGGATTGGACCAATGTTGCAGCGCAATAACACAATGAAGTAAAGACTTAGAATCGAAGTCATGATCTGGAATTCGATCCGTGAAATGACTTTTAAACAGGGGTGGCTGGCAAAGCAAGGAAATTGAGTACTCGTAACTAGCAGGAGACATCTATGGAACAAATGCTATGAGAACTTACCATTTCATTTCTACATCTATCCCAGCACTCATCGAGAACTAGGAGGCCGGCTTGGTTGGCTAGGTAGTCAAAGTTACTATGCTTTTCAGCGACGATGCAACAGTCGGACGTCTACCAAAGCCTATTCATGCAAACAAAAGGAGACGAAAGGCAAGATATGATGATGAATCATGAATAGTTGTAAATGAACGAAATAAAACCTTTGATCATACTGCAAGGCCCACACGCATTATGCTATCTTTCAGCCCGACCTTCTATCGCTTGCATCAGACCATGGTATCTGTACCGGCCATATGCAGTCCAGGAGATTGTCGCCGCTGCGAGACCACCGCATACCACCACTGACGCGTAATTCATGTTCGTTGTGGTGACAGGCTTATACGTAGGGAAGCACATCATGATGATGAGGCAGAGGGACCAAGCTAGGGCCACTGTGGCGACAAGCCGATGGTATTTTCCCAACGAAAAGGGCGCTTTTGGTAAGCTGCAATGCTTGAATCCGAATAACACGGCCATGCATATGGGCATAGCGTACGAGATAATGAGCGTAACGGTGCACGCGCTGGAAAGTCCATAGTATGCCGTTGCGTTGCCGACGTAGATGAGACTCAGAAGACATACAATAGCCCAAGTAATCAAAAGCGAAAGGACCGGGGTCTTTGTACGGCTGTTGACCTTGGAAATGGCCTGAGGGAGGCCTCCGTCGTGAGCGAAGGACCAGATCACACGGGATGTGGCCGTCATGATGCTGGGCCCCACGCCAAGAAAGCCCATCAGAGGTAGGTAAAGTGTCATGCCAACCGTTACCGCTTTGTTGCCACCAGACACGTTGTAATAAAGTTGTGCCATGAAGCTGATCGTGCCTGTAGGGCCGCTTAGAACCCCGGAGATATCGGTGATGCAAAACACAACTCCAATGATCCATGGAAACGTCAGAACGGCACTGCACGCTATGTTGATGATTACTAAATGATTATGAGCATGTTAGCAAGTTCACTCATCGTGCTTATGCTGCGTTGTTGAGTGGGTCTTACAGCTTCGTGGCAGGTCACGCGACGCATGCTTCATTTCCTCGGACATGTGCAGCGGACTATCCCAGCTTACAAAACCGATTGCAGAGGTAAGAAGTCCGATAAGCCAGCTAATCTTCAAAGATGTGTCAGTGTGTTTGCAAACACTCTGGAGCAGGAAGATCCGAGGAACCTGACTTACTCCGGGACTTTCCCAACCGCTCAAGCTCGTGGAGTCCGTAAACACGTACTTAGCAGTGTTCTTTGGATTAACACGAACCAAGAGGTAGATAACTGTGGCGAAATAGCCGACAATGTGCACGAACATCGCGACAAACAGCAAGCGATGCAGCATCTTGACCTCGAAAACTGCAAATAATGTATAGAATGTCGCGAGACCGATGACGATCTGCCAAAACGCGCTTGGAATTAGCGAACTAAGGTTTCTCGTATAGACGAACTGGAGACCTATGATAGGGATAAGCTCACAAGTGCAGTGTGCCATCGCTCGTATGTGTAATCGGGACTGAAGAGAATTGCCCATGCTTGGATCTGCATTGCGGTGGCAAAGATGCCAGCAAGTGCGCATAGAATCCAGCCAAGCATCGTCATCCAGCCTGCATACCACGAAAGGACTCTTTGGAACTTTGGTGGCGAGAGCTCAGCCACGTAATGGTATTGGCCGCCGGCCGTCGGAATCATACTGGAGTACTCTGCGATGCAGAGAACAGTCAGGAGAGCACCGAGGCTGCTTGCCACGAAGCCCCATACCAAACTTGAACTGCCTCCTGACATCAGACCCTGGGCCATTGTGGACGAGATTGCCTCCCAGGTGATACTGGAGCAGAACGACATGAATGCGAGCGACCAGATGTTGAAATTGCGGCGGAGCTCTGACGGCTCTAAGCCAAGTTGCTGAAGTTGGATATCATCGTCGTTGATTTGGGATTTTTTCTCGCTGAGAGCCGCATCCGTTTCGTCTGAGTGGCTGATTTTCGACATTGTTGTTGCACTCTCGTAGTGAGGACTGTTGTCTCAGCTATGGCTTTTGTTTAGAATGCTCTAGTTTACCTGTACGCCTAGCTGCTTGATTGCACAAGTTGCTACATTGAGAGAGTGTGCGTCTACTCCTGTTTTGTAACAAATGGTTGCATCAGGGGTGCCAATTCCGACCGCAAACTCGGAAAGACAATGCTATGCTATACAGCGGTCTGATAAGCTGAATTGCTATCTCCAGCATCTGTTGCTCTGGCTGCAATCTGTTGTTGATGGTCGCATGCTTCTCCCCACTGGAACGGGAATCGCGCCGGAAAATCACAGCCTATGAGGAGCGTTCTGATAACACCAGATGACCAACGACCAGGGTTAATGCAACCCCAGGAACCGGAGCTTAATCAAGGCGAGTGCATCCGGAGGCGCAGAGACCCATTGATTCGACAGGGAAAACATGTCTAATGTGTAAGTGCATAGCAAGGTCCGATAACGCGGGCATAGTGATGGGAGAATCGGCTCCGAAGCAGCGAGAGGCGAACCATCGCCTCAGGACTGAAATAAAAAAGGTTCCGATGAATTACTTCAAACATCGCAACGCAAAATTACGCATTGATTTCTCCACAAGCTTCAGTCTTATCATCACTTCTCACACAACGCACCTCGCAAACTTGACATACAGGCGTTCCAACGATGGCATCTGCAGACGAATTGCGAGTAGTCATTGTCGGAGCGGGCTTTTGCGGTCTGACAGCAGCAATTGAGTGTAAGCTTCGAGGCATGCACCCAATCCTCGTCGAAGCATACCCCGGTGCCAGCTCTCACGGTGACTTGCTGGACTTTGTGCGAAATGCCGGTCGGGTCTTCGAGTCGTGGGGAGGAGGAAAGGTTGGCCGAGCGCTCACCGCGGTGGGCGTGAACGCTGCCAAGTACCTTGAGTTCTTCAACGCCGACAACGAGCTCCTGCACAAGGACCCGTGGCCGCAGGGCACCGAGTTCCAATACGTCTACGCTGGGCACCGCGGCGAAATGCATGAAATTGTGCACAACTACGCCCTGGAGATTGGTGTCGACATGCGCTTCAGCACACGCGTCGTCAGATACCTTGACTCTGACAAGGAAAGGGGCGTAGTCACCGCTACGGGCGAGAAGATCCTTGGTGACGTGGTCTTGGCTTGTGACGGGCCGAAGTCAATTGCGCGCGACCAGTTGCTGAACCTGACGGAGAGCAAGGTCAACAGCGGCTATGCAATATTCCGGGCATACTTCAACATCACCGATGAACTGCGCCAGGCACCTGGAATTGCTGAGTTGCTTCCGGAGGATGAGGACTGCGTTCGATGCTGGGTTGGACGCGACATGCACGGCTTCATCTACACATGGAAGGGTGGAAGGTGAGTTCAATCTTATTTTAATGTTCTCCCAGCATCGAACCGCCATGGATACGTCGAGGCAATGATGAAATCTCATCTGACTGCTTTGTGTACAATTCAGGGACTGTGCTTGGGTCTTGACCCACAAGGACGAGACAGACATTGCAGAGTCGTGGTCCGAGAAGACCACAAGGGCGGACGTTCGATACTTCTTGGACAAAGCCAAGTTTCCTGAAGTTTGGTACACTTTTCTCGAGGCTACCCCAGAGGACCGACTAATTGACTACAAACTTGTGTGGCGAGATCCTCTTACCACTTGGCTCTCCCCTACCAAACGAGCCGCGGTTATGGGCGATGCTGCTCATTGCCACCTTCCTACATCAGCTCAAGGAGCCTGTCAAGCGGTCGAAGACGCAGCCGTAGTTGCTATGTGCCTGGAAAAGTCCAAGGGGGATGTGGAACTGGCCTTGCAGGTCTTTGAGCGTATCCGATTCAACCGGTCTCATATTATTCACCAGGCATCCATATCAACCCGAAATATCTATCACCAACACGATTGGACGCCCGAGTATGTTGCAAAGCACCCCAGCTCTCTGGTCATCCCGCTCTTTGACTGGATTACCGAATACGATGTCTATAAAGAGGTTGATGCGCATTTTGACCACTTGGCTGCGGATGTCAGGAGCGGAAAACAAGGGACCATTGAACAGCTGGCGCTGCCAGCCGGTGGAAATTACGATGGGATGGAGATCACTGCAAACAAAGAGGTTTTGTCGGACCTGGGAAGTAAGCCTGCGATTGTTGCCTTGGAAGCAAGTTCTGTGCGGGCGTAAACATATGAATCATTTTTGTTTGAGGAAGTCATGGTACAGTTAGCAGCCAATGCTCCCTCCTGAAGCAATCCATCCTGCGTTTGTTAATCGCATCCCATGTGACGGCCTCAACATATTCTGTCATTAAATGCGAGATGTTCATCTTTTTGCATGAAATTCTTCCAGGGACAGTTTGACGATACTGAAATGGTCGTAGGCCCGGCGGCCGAGAGCTATGCAACGCAGCGGCGCGTACGCGCCCGAGGGCGCGTAGAGCTACCGTAGCTACGTAACTCTACGGTTTTAAGGCCTACGATCTTAAAAAAAAAAGGAAAGGACTCCTCATATACTTTACAGATCTAAAAAAATAAAAAGAACGGGATAAAAAGCTCGAAAATCCGCTGAAAAATAAGTAAATTCTACCTCTGATCTGTGAGATTGATGATGATGTCTCCGCTAACTTCTCGCCTCTTGAAGGGGCTAGTAATCTGGCCTCTAAACGCCGAAAACGCCGAAAAATCCAGTGGGCCCACTAAACCCCGTTCCAATACTTAACAAATACCGCTTCCTCTACCTTGAGACTCTATCACCTGGGAGAAGTCAATAAATCAATCAACCAAATGCACCCGTAGTCAAGAGGTCTTACTTCTTGTTTTCACAGGAGTCAGCGATTTGCGCTCCCATTTTACATTCGCCGCCTGTTTGGGAACAATAATTTGGCCTAGTGTGTTTGGGCAGTTATTCACTGTGGCACAAAATGCTGAAACAGGCTCTTCGAATTGACTTTCTCTCATTTAATAAACCGTCTTCCTCTTCTATTTCGGCAAATAGGCCTCGACAGTGATTTCAATATGTAGCCCAGGGAAGACCAAAGATTTAACCTCCACGCCCGTCCACACAGGTCGGGTATTCTTCAGATAAGACTTTGCAATTGGGATCACCACACCAGCAATGCCTTTGCCATTGTGCGCAACTTCAAAAGTCTTCACCTGTCCCTAACTTTAGTATGCAGACTACATCACCGGGATTGTGGACAAAAGCATACGGAATAGACATGCTCCCAAGCGTCATCACCAAGACCGGCCGCCTTGAGACTGCGAGAAACATGTTCGAAGGCTTCTTTGATTTCATCCTCGATATTCCCAGGAATCGAGCCGTCGTCCTTGATGCCAAGCTGACCGCCAACTATGATTCGGCTGACATTGGGTGGCACGACCACGGCATGCGAGATGCCGTAGTCTTGGGCAGAGGCTTCACCTCCGGCCCAGTCAGCGAAGCGGAAACCGTACTGTGTAAGCGTTGACTCTGCCATATTCGGAATGTACGGAAACTATTTGCGGAAGTTTCGCCATTTTGGCATTGCCACTGTCTCGCGTTCTTGGGTTCATATACCAAAAATGGAATCTGTGCGCTGTTTTGTTCTACCAGTAACAAAATCTTCCCTTCACTAGTTGCCATCGGAACCAACAACAGGACCTCGGAATGACTCTTCGGGTGGCCGGGTGGGATACTCGGAGGCCGCGGGCTGATGTGAAACGACGACGTCAAACAATCTGAGCGGGAAAATCAGCTTATTGGTTAGTTCTTATCTGGTCCTCGCGACACTTCAGGTATCCGGATATTTTCTGGACAGCTAGTTATTTCCTATCGGTCGGCTTCTTGGTTGGTAATTGCAGCCATCTCCTAGGCCACAAGCAGCTAAGCTACACGATATGGTGGAGCAAGATTGCTAGGATGGATGCGGGGTAATGACCTTGCAGAGCAGGGGTTGCGACTGTTTCGTAATCTATTGCATAGTACACACTCTCTCTCAGTAGGAAAAGACTGGTTAAATGACTACCTTTGCAATAAAGCCGTAATGGACTCAATGTGTTATTTCCTCGACAGGTTATGTTAAACATTGGTCTTCTGTGCTGATACACATTGACTGCGTTTTGCTTTTCAAATTCCAGCGCGCTGATCTTCGAGCCATGGCCCTCTCTTCAAAAGTCATTGTGTTGGTACAACAGAAATGGCATTTGGTCCTGCCGTGCTTGGTGTTGGTCTATTTTCTTTGGAATCGTTACCAAAAGAGGTTGTCCAAAGTTCCCGGCCCTTTGATAAACTCATTCACTACGCTGCCACGAATGTGGTCGGTCTACCGAGGCCACCACCACCTGGACGAGCTGAAATGGCATGCCAAGTATGGCAAAATCATGCGTGTAGCGCCGAACCTAGTAGCGATATCCGACGTGGATGAAATCAACCAGATATACGGCATCGGCACCAAGTTCATCAAATCTCCATTCTATGATCTTTCAGCTGTCTATGATGAGGAAGGCCTGGTCCCGGATCCGTTCGTAATTCGACATGACAAAGGACTCCACTCACGTATGAAGCGCAACGCTGCCAATGCATACAGCATGAATGGATTGGTACAGTTCGAACCATGGATCAACACCGTCATGGACCGATTGGTCGCCATTTTGGACAGGAATGCCTCATCTGGAACAGTCTGCGACTTGGGAAACCTGTTCAAGATGTTCGCGATGGACGCAGTGTGCACTTTGACCATGGGGCGAGACCTCTCCTACATGGAAAAAGGTGACCATCTTGGCTTCTTTCCAACTCTCGATCTTTTTACCAGTTACATGTCTATTGTAAGTCATGTGTAGTACGAGATTGAAATAACAATCGTACAAGGGTCCACTGACAAAAACTGCTAAACTAGATGGGTCATGTGCCTTGGCTGCATCCAGTCTCATTGGGCAACCCAACAATCGCAAAGTACATGACAGGTAGTGATAAATCTGGCACGGCCTTATTTGATCTGGCGACCAAGGAGCTTGAGAGAACTCGGCGTGAGCCTCCCGCAGAGGATGCTCCCATGACGTTTTTAGCCCGATTAGGCCTCAATCAGGACGCGAATCCCAAGTCGATTACAGATCGTGAGATCATCACTCACGCCTTTGGGAATCTCTCAGCCGGTTCCGACACCACGGCCGCCGCTATGAGGTCCGTCTTCTACAACATTCTTCGCAGCTCCAGAGCGTACGCGCGGTTGACGAAAGATGTCCGGGAGAACCTGCAGCTACCAGTCACTTTTACTAAGGCATACGCAATCCCATACCTACGAGCAGTCATTCAAGAAGCCATGCGCTTACATCCTTCTGTTGGCCAACTGCTTGGTCGAGTGGTTCCTCCTACAGGAGCCACAATAGGCAAGTTCTACCTGGCACCGGGGACAGAGGTCGGCATGTCTCCATGGGTGGTTCATCGCGACCCGGATATTTTCCCAAACCCTGATGCATTCATCCCAGAGAGATGGCTTGTTGGTGAAAACGGTACAACCGAGGCTCAGCTTCGCCGAATGGAACGATCATTCCTTGCATTCGGTCACGGATCGCACACATGCAGTGGCAAGCACATCAGCATCATGGAGGTCACCAAATTAGTTGGGACACTGCTTTTGAAATATGACATGGAGTACGTGAAGATCGGAGAGGGTTACAAATTCGTAAACCATTGGTTTACATCTCAGACTGGGTTGAATGTAGCTTTCCGCCACGTTAAGGGAAGCAACATATAGATTCAGCGGGAGAAACAAGGAACTTTAAACGGGCAGCTTTCACATACACCTACCTTAAGGTAGCAAGGGTTATTATGATGGGGTGATTTCAAGTTGCCTTCATTCAAACGTCAATCTTTTCCAAGGCAATCAGGAGTCTGCGATGCTAATTGCGGAGGCTTCAGATGGATAATCAAAGTGCTTCTCACCACAGCTTTAATTCCGGCCAAATACATCTCTCAAGGTTAGAAACAAGGTTTCCGGGAAGAGAGCAAAAGTAAGAGCTTAAAGTCAGAGCAATATTTCGCGACATCAGTTGAAGGCAGGGAAATTCATTGGAGACTAGCGGATCACTGAGCAAGGACATGCTAAAGAGCCTATGGGCATCTCTGGTCGTCTGGTCACCAACGTTATCATTGCAGACGTGCAAGAAACCCGTGCAATTGGCTACATTACGATTGTTATGAGTTCCTTTCTGGCCGCTACCCCATTATTGCCCATTCTAGGTTGTTTTCGTGGTGAGTGTTAGGCCTCTAGCTTCGATCTTCCGACATTATGTGGCATGAAGGTGAGATGACATCCTGTTGCCATGTGAATACACGTCCGTCAGCGAGTATGCCGCATCAATCGCATCTTCCGTCTGACTTCACCTTCCTTCCCGTCTGGTACAGGCCCCACTCTCATTCACCTCCATCTCATCCCACGTTGAGATTATCTCACGAAGGGACTTTCATCCTTCCTCCAATTTCATGCCAATCTTGCCACGCCTCTAGGTTGGCTCTTTTCTTCGTTGTCGTTGTCGTCGTCGCTGCCAGTAGCCCGAGGACATGTACTGCCCGAGCCGAGTACGGCCTTAATTTTCACGTGACAACGCTGTGTAAGTCCATGCCCGACGACTTCACGCACACAGCTAGTGATCTTTACATGTACAAATCTCTCAATGAGAACCGGGAAGATAGAACTGCATCTTTGCCAAATCGTACAATGCCAGCTGTCAGTACCCCTAGGTGCTGTTGACTCCCCTGCCTTCTTTGTAATCGTTCTCATCATTATCTAGGTAAACTCATTATGTATATTACGAGCAGTTGTTCAATAAACTTCTGGGGCCTAGTTCCGTTTTATGTCACAAGGGTGGAAGGGGGGCGATCGTAATCTCATTAGGATTCAGAAAAAGGGAAATTCAGCACCCAGAGGAATCGTCACACGGATCCACGTGTTCTATAGATATCGGTCAGCAAACCCGGCACAACCCTCTTCTTTCCATACAAGCCGAACTCACCCTCCGGTTGCCCTTTTATCGGAACCTGAAGCCCCTCGCATTTCTTCCACAGCTTTCAGGCATCTTCGGGTCCTGGCGTCATCTTCCCCGAACACTCTTTGGTGTCTTTTCAACGTTTCTTCTATCAACGTTCTTGCCTCTCCAATCTTCCCAACTTGAAGCTGGGCTAAAGAAAGCCAATACCTGTTTCTGAGAACCTCGGGATGATTCTGCTCGAAACGCCCCGCCAGAAGCCGCAGCACTTCCCCCCGCGTCCTCTCCGCCTCCTTCCACCGGCCCTGTTTCTCCAGGACTATGCATAGCGTCTCTTTGTAGGTGACAAACATGTTGTCCCCGTCCGTGGAGATCTGCAGCAGCTGACGGATGGATTCTTCCGCGTCTTTCAGCCGGCTCTGCCGCAGCAGGCACAACGACAGCTGGTGCTTGGCGTCCGCTAGCGGGCCGCGGGTCGAGATGTTCAATTGGACGTCCTGGTCCTGGAGGAGGCATCGGCGACAGAGCTGCTCGGCCTCTACCAGCCTGTTCTGCATGATTAGCACCTGCGCCAGCCGGACGGAGCACGCGAGCATCTGCGGGTGTTCCGCCTTGTACTCATGCGCCGCCTCGGCCTCGTGCTCTTGTGGCTCTGGGTTAGCCTTGTGCTCTTCTGCCGTCTTGGCCAGTATCTCTTCCGCTCGTCGCAGCTCATTGGTCTCCTTGAAGGTCCATCCCAGGCGTATGCTCAGTTGTATCCTGATTCCACGTAGGTCATGTCGCCCCTCGCATTGGCGCAGGGCTGACGTGAGCAAGTTGATGGCCTCTTTGAAACGCCTCTCGGCGGTCAAGGCCACGGCCAGCTGGTCCTTGAGAAAGAGAATATAACCCAAGTTGTCTGGGTCGACTTGCCTCTGGAGAAAGAGTGCCCTCGAGATCATCTTCGTCGTCTCTTGCGCCTGGCCGGCCGTGGTCAATATTCCGGCCTGCAACACCTTCCGCGCCGTGAGCAAGGGGTGCCCCTCCCCTAGTGTCGCCTGCAACCCCTCGTCTCGGGCCATTGATCGCAGCTCGACGCGGCCGCAGTCGAAGAAGAAGTGTGCCAAGTTTTCCGACAGTATCGCCCGTAGCAGGGCAACATTGTATGTGTCGGAAGGTTTGTTCTTTAGGATCTCCTTTGCGTGCGGGAGTAGGGATTGGCACGCCCGCAGTTGGGCGTATCTGGGAAAGGGGAACACTTGGGCAATGGCCCTGAGCGCTCGTTCGGCAAAGATCCCGTCCGAGTCACGCCTTCGAAGCCAGTGCCTCGTCGCCAAGTGAACAAGTCGATGGACGCCAATGTCTTTGTTCTCTCCCTGCGAAACTATGGAGAATGCCCTGAGCTTTCCAATGGCCTTTTGAAATTCGATTTGGTCGATAGATCTTCTCGGTGAATAGTCCGCAGGCGGCGTGATCTTCCTCAAATACGGAGTCGTCGTTACGTTGCGTGCCTGGCTGCTCTCCTTGTTCTGAGTGGATGAAAACAAGCATGTCGGATTGTAGTAGCTCGTGCCAGAGTTGCTTAATGTTTCCCGGTCTCTCTCGGTAGCTAAGTAATAGTCGGTTTCGCTGTCTCCCGGGTCGACTGGTCCTGCAGATCGGACATTGTTGAGATCCTCAGCGACGTCCTCGCTCTCGCGATCTTTTCCGTTGCGGTTGCTGGCCCTAAGAGAACCTTCTGCCTCATTGTACCAGTGCTCGTCATCGCCTACGTCTTTCAAGCGCTTCATGGTGTCAAAGTAAGCTCGATTGCTCAGGTAGTATTCGAAATCTTCAAACCACGGTTCGGCAAGTGCGTCGTTCAACAAGGACTGAGGGATAGCTTGGCGGTCGAAAAAGGCGATGAGGGAAAGTATTTCCGTGGCAAGAGGCTGCTCTCTTTCGATCTGTTCAAAGGATATGGCAAAGGTCAGCATGACAGCCCGCGGGACATCGTCATCCCGCCCCACCGTCCTGAAGTCCTCGCTCAGGAGACGAACGATATCATCATCGCCCCGGTCCAGCCTCTCGAGGTAGTCGCCTGCGGACATACTGTTTTCCTGTATAAAGGCAGAGGCTTGAGCGATCGCCAGCGGAAGTTTCTCAAGTCGCTCCGAAAGACCCGAGGCAATCTCGTCTGATATCTGATTATTTCCCACCAGTGCGCGAATCATCTCAACAGACTCGCGGTCGTTCATCTGGTCCACCTCGATCAGTGACGCGGGCGACGACGAAAGCTTCAGCCCGGCTTGTTTGTTCCTGGTCGTAAAGAGGACCGCGCCGTTGCCGCATGTACACTGTGGGATGAATTGTGCCAGCGCGGCGTTCTTGCCGTCTTGACCGTGCCCTGCTCGTGGCGGACTTGATCGATCTCCGTTAAAAGCTCGAGGAAAGAAGACATCGGGATCGTCCGCATTGTCAATGATGAGCAACCAGGGATCGTGACTTTTACTCTGGAGCCACGCTTTGACAAGGGACAGAATGTCGACAGATGGGCTGTCGTGACCGGGGATCTTGCATTCTCTAGCGATATCAACGTAGGCTTGCCGGAACCGGTCGGCGTTGCTGGAATACACCCAGAAGACTGATATGTCTGGGCGAATGTCCTTGAGCCAGTAAGCGTAGGCCAAAGCTATCTGCGATTTGCTGAGGTACGGTTAGCAAAAAGCCATCACCGCTCGGCATCGCTGCAGAACATACCCCACGCCCCCGAGGCCGTAGAGACACAGCCGAGGCCGGGCGTTAGCTTTGCCTTTGCCCTGGGTCGACAGCGATCTGTGGTCAAGTCCACGTTTCAAATCATCGAGGATGTCGTTACGACCAACAAAGTCGGGGTTCTTAGAGTACGGCACAACAACTGGGTTTGAAAATTCAGCCAAAATCCGGTCCCCAGAAGATCGAGGAGTTGCAATGAAGCTATTACTACGTACAGTATCCCGCTGGTAACTCAGACTCGCCCTGCCTTTTTGGCGCGCTTTCTCCAGCCATCTCTTGGCTCATGGAAGGCAATCTCGACGGCGCATGAGCGTTTCTCAACTCTCTGACCCAGCGCCGAAGCTCGTCGCAAACAGCCGTGAAGCCTGGATCCTTGACGCTGGCGAACTTTGTCATTCCCGAGTGGTCGCTATGGATCCCGATTGGGATATAGCCTGGAAGTATCGCAGAGTCTGGAGGCACAACCTGGGCTCCGTGTTAGTGACATCGTGGACAAGCAGAATAACTCATAAGCAGGGACGCATACCAACCCCACACCACGGATGGGAAGTTCCTCGTAGAAGCAGGTGATCTCGATAGCACTAAGCCCTTGCTTCGTCCGGGACTGGATCATCGTATGGAAGCTGTCCTGGATACGCGCAAGGACTTCCGAGTCCCGGCGGAGGACTTGGACGATATCGGCATTTGTCTGCTTGATCAGCCCAATGGATTTAGAGAGCCTTTCTGCCCATATGGCAAGACCTGAGCCATGATGGGGCGTTCCAAGAAAGATGATACCCTTGGTCGAAGCCAGGATAGCTTGTAAGTGCCTCTGGGGCCGCTGAAGAGAAGAAACGAGGGCCTGTATGAGTAATATGTCAATAGTTCGCTCGCAGCTTCACACGTAAGTTACAGGCATACACACATCTTCGCAAACGAGGCCACCCATACTATGGCACACGAATATCACCGGACGGTTGTTCTTGCACGTGTCAGTAGCTTCTTTGCACTGTCCGAGTATCCAGAGCAAAACCAACCGTATCGTCCTTATCGCGGA